GCTTCAGACGTGGCTGAAATGCAAATGTTCTGCTTTTTATGATTCGTGCGGCCGGGAACGGATCGGGACCGATCACGAGCGGATCGTGGCGCATGCCAAGCCAAGCTGCCCATACGAAATGTCTAATTGCCTCCACTTCTCGCCTCTCACTTCTCACTTCTCAGTTGCTACGTGCAACGTGCGTCGTCCATTCGGAAACCAATTGGAATTAGAAATCGCGGCAATCGCTGCGACAATCAGTCGTGACTGTTGTTGCTGAAACGCCGACAAAAGGGAACGCACGCACTGAGAATTCGAGGGAAAGGGCCCACGGGGCCTGTAGCCTCATCATCGGCACTCGAACCACAAAGCGTACCGATTTGTTGATTTGTTTTGAAAAGTGAGTAAATATGTTTCCATTTATGAATGTTTGGAAAATGTCATTTGTGTGCGCTGTGCGCTTTTGTTTGAGCAGCAATTTCATTTTCAAGTGGTCGATAAGATTCCAGGTGCTGATAATACGCTATCAATGCGTCCGATAACACCGAAAGCCAGCTCCAGTACTTCCCCACTCATAGAGGTGGTGTAGGTGTGTGTGTATGTGTGTGTGGGAGCGACTCCAAGGTGTCTGTCTAGGTGCATTCAAAATGGAGGCCAGAGGCATACTTGTACAAGCACAAGGCTCAGTGCAGAACAATTAGAATAATATGTTTGCATGCACATTTCATGCAATTTGTCACACAATCTTTAGTGTTGAAACATGCCTGGCTACCCTGGAGTCCTGCAGTCCTGCAGTCCTGGCGGCAGAAGCAAATTTATTTTAAGAAATTTGCATAGAGTCCTTCCTTTATCGTTTGCTGTTTGCGCAAAAGGATTTTATTACTTTTATGTGAATCGATGCACGAAACACAAAGATTTCAATTTAAGAAGATACTGTCGAGCACTGTCCCGTGCTCCTTGTGCCAAAAGCAATGCCCACCATGTGTGTGTGTCTCAGAGCATGTGTGTGCGTGTGCGTGTGTGTGTTTGTGTGCCAGATGCTGAAAAGCGACAATTTCATGTCCAAATGCTTTCCAGGTGACACGAAACAACACTTAAGTAAGAAGCAGCACAGGAGGACGAGCAGAAGGGTGAGCCGAGTAGGCGGCAGACTAGGCGGCTTAAGTCCCCCATTCTGTGTGACTATATGTGTTCGGTGGGTGCGGCGGCAGCAGCAACGGCAGGGGCAGGAGCAGGAGCAGCGCACCTGGTGTGGAAGAATAATATCTCGTAACGCCGAAATCTACATTTAAATTGTTTTCAATATAATCTGCGTGTTCTGCCCAACACAACAGCAAAATGTCCGAGTTAATGTCTCACAAAATGAAACAGAGCTGTGCGTACGAGTACGTGTGTCTGTGTCTGTGTCTATCCCAGAATTACTCTGTCGTTCTCTAGGTGGGCGAGTGCTCCAATTGGTAATCACCACCATGGTGGTATGAAAACAGCGACACGATTCAGGAATTGAGTTAAAGAGCAATCGGAAGAACTTAGACACCTACGTAGATAATTGTTAGGACCTAGCTTATAATGATGAAGGTGATGAAGGAGGTAGCTATACAGTCGACTCTCCTTAATTCCAAATTCGAGGGACTCTTAAAATATTACGCATTATCGAGAGTTTGAAAATCAAATGGTTCGATATTTGTGAGAGAAAATAAATAAAACTTTGAATTATTAAGTGTTGATCAATTATTATTTATTAACTGCTACTTTATAACAATGTCAAAAGAGTAACATTACCTAAATGATAACTAAAAAAAAACAATTTGTGTGAAGTGTGTGTTAAATAGCCAAACTAATCATAAAAAAAACAGTTACCGGAACGGATCTTGAGCGGTGACCGTTAGATGCGCAGAATCGATTTTTGGGTCTGCTTGTTGGTATGAAGAACGGCGCGACGGGCGGAACTAGCTACAAGTTTGAACTTGTCGCAAAATGTACTTCCATTCAATCTTTCCGCCTCTTTCTCTTTGCAACTTTAAATTGCCTCGTGTGGGGCGCCGATGAGTTCGAATTAACGCGTCGCTTTGTTATATAGCAACGATTTTTTCGTTCGAATCACCAAGTGCATAAAAATGTATTGATTTAGATCGAAATATAAAGAAATTTTGTAGGGAACTCGTGATAACTTTGAATTATAGAGAGGTTTGAATTAACGAGAGTCGACTCTATATACATATATAAATAAACACACTCAATCGTGAAAAAGTGCGCCCTAACAACGAGCCCGTTGAGTAAGTAGAGCAGGCAATATACCTGGGAATAAATATAAATCAAACGGTATTTTGGTACGACCAGGTCAATAAGGCAGTGGGAAGAATCTATAGTGCATCAAGGCTGTCTGCCTCTGACGCACAATTTTCCTTCACTAAAACTAAAGCTCCCTTACACGTGAGGAACCAAATTATATGCACGAAAGCATTAGTTTCACTTCATCGATTATAATTACATTTGTAATGACTAGCGTACAAATTTAAAAGTAACCCGATACTTGTACCGCTAGGATAAGGTTTATAAATGAATAAATATGGAATTATTCATAGCTTATTATTAAGATGAATCGTCATTTAGCATCCGGAATGGTGCCAGAAGCTTCAGATGTTGTTAGACTCATTAATCAATTGGTAATTAGTAAAATATGTGGTGATGTGACGTCGCAACATAAATATTTTCAATTTTCAGAAAATAAAGGTGAGCATTTTGTTTTGTTAGTTTGCTTAGAATTTTATGATATTGGACATATTAGGCTTTAAATATCTTCCGGGCATTGCGTCTCATATTGTCGAGACATTCGAGAGTTTCTTAGTCTCCGTACAGTCTCCTCACTTGCCCTTGGAGAGGCGTCTATAATACCCTTTAGCAAAAGTCTAAAGGCATTCTCCGCCAGGGGCTAAGTCTGCGAACGACAGGGTAATGCAGACAGGTACGCTCATTTGTTGGAGTGCGTGCCTTGAAGTTTGCGCAACATCTGCAACAATTCTCAGGACGAAAGTTGCTGCTATTATGCATACTTATACCTACATACATATATGTTAGTATATACATATGCGATGGGGTTCGAGTCCTGTGGCACTTTTGTCACTTTGCGAAGTGAAATGGAAAGGCATAAGTGGATAGGCCTAGGCCTGGGCATTGGATTTCTTGGCGCCAGCAAGTGCTCCCAAGCGTCTCTAAGCCACACAAGCTGTAATAATCACGACTTGACTCTACTCCTAGAAGAGTGAATCGAGTGGGTGCTTGTTTTTTTTTGGAACGCTGCGCGCATGCGCTTAAGATAACATGTGTCGGGGATGCATTTAAGGAACTCGGTGTCCGAATACAAGTGAGTATTTTGCATACGCACGACCACAGTTTGTAGACCCTGACAGTCTGCAGCACATACTATACTATATATAATAAATGACAGTGCGTTAACACCCCAAAACATTGAAAAGTCTCACTTTACAAGAATTCCAACAAAACTATTTGAGAATGAGAAGGAATTGAAGGGCGCTTTCAAGTGGTTCGAGTTTTCTTTCAAATCCAATTGTTTGTTGTTAGTAGTGCTCTCTACACACACACTTGGTTTCGAATATCGACATTTGGGCAATTAGCGCGGATCTGTTTGAAGAAGCTGGCCATGGAGTGTCACAAATCGTTCGATATGTGTATGTTCCTAAGTGAAATGTAAATGGAAATTATTCTACAATTAGAGCAATGAGAGTGTTCAAAATTTCCATGAAAATTCTCAAAATTTACCCAAGTCTCCATCAGAAGTAAGGTCTTTTGCAATCAAATTGAATTGAAATCGTTAAGATAGAAAGACTACGGCTGAGCTGTAGTTAATAAATAGTTTTGTTTTGTTTTTAGTATAGAGTCATAAGGCTGTTATAATGCTCGTATTTTAGGGACTGTTCCTAGCGAAGTTTTGAGATCTGTACCTTAATTTAAAAGTCAATAATCTGGGGTTTTTTTGCTTCAGAAAGGTATTTAAGATGACGTGGTAATTAAATGTTTTACTGAACTAGGAACGAGTTTTGGGGCCCCATTGGCAAAAGTACAAATTGTAAAAAAATTTGTAGCATTTAATTGATTACTACAATTGATATAATGATATTTTATATATACTTGTATATATTCTAAAAATTCATAAACAGCTGAAAAATATGAACTGTAAAATTACATTTCACTCTTAATTAACTGATATTCTTCATCTTTGATATTCTTTAGAGCAACGGAATTTGCAATAAGAAATATATTAAATACCACGGAAAAAGTTAGGCCGCCAAATTATTGTAGAATTTCGGTGTCCACGAAATCATCCCAATGTTTTAAGTATTATCTTGAAATATATTTTTGTGATAGGAAAGTTTTTCTCTAAGAAAAATTTGGTTGCTTGAAGACAATCGACAATTTAGGATCGCAATTATAATTTTGAGGTTGTCTTTATTTCTTAGGAACAGTCCCTTCAATAGTTTCATTCATTTATTTTCAATACTGCACTTTTCCGATTTAAGCCTAAACGACAGCTTTCTGGTTTGAATTGCACTTCCAGGAAGTTTTATGGCTTCGAGCTGCTGCACTTTGAATGTGAAGTCTTTCGATCGCGGGCCGCCATAAAATGGCTTCCAGTGACGCTAAAGGGGAAGCGACAGCAACAAGAGTGCAGCTGATTGAGCAGCAACGACCACAGGAACTTCCAGTCGGAGATGGGCGTAGCCATTACCATCAGCCCCTGGGCTGGCCGCTCACAATCATCACCACCCCATCTCGCTTGCACTCAGGCAGCGAAGCAGGCTCGAAAGAGATGCCTGCCACAATGCGCTCTCTGGTTGGAAATGTTGAACAGTTTGAAGTGTTGCCTTCCCGCTCTTTCGCTCGTAGGCAACGGTATGCCTTCCTGCTCTTTGTGTGCTGACTGCCTCGTGCGCTCGGGCAAGGCAGACAGTCGCATCAGCAGACCAGTTTGTGTTCAAACGCGAATTGGTGCGCATCTCGGCTGTGGCTGTCGCTGACAGGTTGTGGAACTCGTTTCCAAGACGAAGAAAAGTGTGTGTGCAATAGCATAACAAAAATTTCTTTCCTCGATCTGGTTGCAACAATAAACAACAAATAATAATAACAATAAGTGCATTCAAATACAGCGGGAAAACGTGCTGAGCCCAACTAAGTGGTGAGGCAATGACAGTGCTCCATTGGCCTAGTCCCAAACTGAATGAAAACTAACTAATTATGTCAAGCATGCGTGTGTGTTTGTGTGTGTGAATATGTGCGTGTACGTGTGCCTAAAAGGATAACAAAGTGAGGACTCACATATAACAACAACAACAACAACAACAAACAAGTGCGAAGGAAGCATCCCAAAATCAACATCAACTACAACACAACAACAACAACAGCAATTGCTAGCCCGGCTTGAATCTGAAACGTTGCTGACAATAGAGTGGAGAGCAAAACAAATCTGTTTGGTGCAAACACTTGAACGCGATTTGTCGGCCTGGCGGTTGCCGCCGCCGATGCCTCCGATGCCTCGAATGCCGTCGACGCCGCCGGAGCAACAAAAGAGTCAAAGTCAATAAAAAATCAAGTGAAATAATAAAAAGAGCAGAGCCACACAAAAGCAAACAAAACATTTTCCGGTGACATTAACACAACTGCTCGACAATTTGTTTTATCAATTTTCAACAACGCCAACAACAGCAACAACAGCAACAACAATATAAGCGCAACAGCCAACAAGCCAACAAAAGCGTCGTTGAGAGTGCGAGCTTAGCTGCTGCGCTCGCATCGAGCACGCACGGCGACGAGCCCGCCTCCGCCGACTCGTCCAGCCCAACCCCTTGAAAAGTGTTTGCCAACATCCAGGCAGCATCCTTGCCGGGGCATCCGTAGCGAGAACTCACGTGTTGCCACACCACCGACACAAACACCCAACAACAACAGCAGTAACAGCAACAAGAAAAACAGAACCGGCACCACGACAATGGCTGCATATGCGCAGTTCGGATACGGTTACCCGACGGCAAATCAGGTGAGCAGCCATATTCCCATATTTGAGTTGGCAAGCCAAGTCATTTGCATAACAAACTGAAATGGCAAGCTCTCTTACATAACTGTAATTAGCAGCATTGGAGATGCTTGAGAAGATCTTGAGCTTTCTTTGGGTGAGGTGTCCGTTACCCTTCCCACCCATTTGGCCCCTGTGGCTATTAGGTGTCTATAGACAAGCACCAGAGATAAGCAGAATAAGATACCCACCACTCAGGAAATTAGTACGACTAATAATTGATAAGGCCACTTACGAGTCTGTTTTATAACTGATTGTGTGCTCGCATGAAGATGGAAGATAGAGGAGGGCCTGCTTCTAGGGATTGCTGTTATCGCCAATAACATCATCGTTTTATTATGTTTTGCTGTGAAAGTGTTAATTACACTTGAACTTACTATTTCGGAAAAGCCTTTTCGATTTCGGGTCATTCATTTCATTTCGATAGTTGCAAATAGACGGTTTCAAAATAAGTTTCTAAGTAAGAAACGAGCTGTTTTCACTGACTTAAAAAATATTTCTCGTGTTAATAGTCGACTTCTAATAGAACAGATATAGAGAAACTAATATTTAAAAGATATCTTTGTAATAATTATGAAATTATAAAATATTCATTTTAAAACTAGATCTATCTTCTTAGATTGTCGAAAACTAATGTTAGAAATCAGAAGGAACTTATCAATTATATTTCTAATGCCCTACAAAGCTATTATTTATGTTCCGTCAAAAAAAAAAATTAAAGTAACTTCAAATTAAAGTAAATTCAAGCAACTAGAATTTCTAGTGGAAGTGTACAGTTGAACTTACTATTTCAGAAAATGCTTTTTGTTTTCGGGTCATTGATTTTCATTTCGGTAGTTGCAAATGTAGGATTTCCAAATTAATTTCCAAATAAGAGATGGGTTGTGTTTACTGATTTCAAAAATACTTCTCATGTTAATTAATCGACTTCTATATAGAGCAAATACTATTTAAAAGATATTAATCCTTGTAATAACTATGAAATTGAAAAATTGTAATTTTAAAGATAGGGAAGAATAAATCGTTTTTGCATCTTCTTCGATTGTGGAAAACTAATGTTACAAACTAGAAGAAAGTTACCAATTGTATTTCTAGTGCCCTACAAAGATATTACTTATGTTTCGGCCTAAAAAAAAAAAAAATTTAAATTTCAGAAAAAATTCAAGTTGAATTTCATTTGTCGACTTCTAATTGGCCAGATACTATATATACCAACTAATATTTCACATATTCATTTCCTAGAAACTCTAATGACTATGAAATTGTAAAATATTCATTTTAAAGTTAAGGATGAATAAAGGTTTTTTGTATCTTCTTAAGTTGTGGAAAACAGATGTTGGAAATCATCAATCAAACATCAAAATTATTATTTATATTTCGGACTAATTCGAGTCGCTTTAATTTGTAGGTGGAAGTGTTTAATAAATTGTATTTGCAACGAATCTCTGGCCAGGGTATATTTGGCGCCCAAAACGTGTTGTTATTTATTTTAGACACCCCAAAGGATTGATTCAAAAAGCGATTTAGTGCGAACCTATATTTCAAAGTGCCTGGCAGACTTTACCAGACCTCCAGCTCAATTGCTATTGCAAGAATACATATTGTTATCCGAATTATACTTATCCGAAGCTTACACACTAGGAATTTGTGACGACCGCATCATGTCATTACAATTTGTTTAGCGAAAGTATTTTTATCTTAAAGACATTTTGTTTCTATTCTATTGATATTCAAAATGTTGATGCTTGAAGTAAACACGCATCTAGTGCTCGTATGTATATTGATTTAAAACATGTTCTTACTTTTACAAGTGAATGAATTGGTGTTTAATATGATACCGAAATCAGCTTCAAGTGAAACCATGTAGGGGCTGTTAGGGTTCGTGAAACTATATTCGAGGAATTCCCAATATAAGAGATTCTTGTTGAGAAACACTACACTGGCACATAGAGCTCGTGGATAGCTCGAGGGTTTGGGTCTCAGATAATTGGCAGCAGTGTCGGTGGCGGCATATTTGAATGGGATATAAATTTATATTTTATGCAGGAGAAAATTATGAGCAGAGGCACGAAACGGACGGTACGGGAGCATGAATATTCAACACACTGCGCCAGCGGCTGGTCTCGGCTTCTCGTAATGGCTGCCGCAAGGAAATGTTGCACAATTTAGGACGATGTTCAGTCGCCTCCGCCCCTCTGCACCCCTCAATCCTTTGGCATTGCATCGTCCGAGCCAAAAGCTCTCTCTCGCTCCGGTCATAATTGCGCGGGGACTGGCCAGCGGACAGGGACTGGGCATAATGTGAAGTTCAGTAATTCAAATTAGTTGGCTGAGGTTTTCCAAGGGCGGGGATGGAAGGCGGGGAGGGGGGGGGAGAGCGCGGGGGGAATAGGCGAAGGCGAGACCAAAGCCTTTTCAGTGCCCTGTGTAATGCCTTGTTATACTCTGTGGTCGCCTCTAATGCCTTCGTGTTGTTGTGGTGTGTGTGTGTGTGTGTGTGTTGCGTTTATCTTAAACTCCGTTGTCCGGCTGCATATACATATCTAGATACATAGCACATACACATAGATGTATGTATGTTTGAATATATGTACATACATATGTATGTTTGTCTGTCTGCCTCGTCTCTATCCCCATCTGTTACCATCTGGCAGAGAGCTCTGGTGCATAAATTTATGCTAAAATGGCCCGGAATGGTGGTCCATTTATTATAATATGCAAACTTGGTAAATTATAATAATTAAAATAATGAACGCTCAGATTATCGACGATAATTATGGCTGCAGATGTGCCAAGTACTGTGGTCGTTACATTCAACCGAAGCCAGCGCCAGCGCCATTGTTGTTGTTCTTGTTGTTTTTGGTTCATCCACTCGTGTATTTGTTGTTGTTTACATTAGTCTGTTTGTTGCCGTTGATGTTGTTGTTGTCATTGCCGCCATTGTTGGTTTGTGTTTCTGGTCATGTTTTAAGAGCACCACACATTGACATTTTAAACGCGAGTTTAGAACATGTTGTTACAGATTTGGCAAACAAAATTTTGTGCCCATATTACAACTTAAATTCGATTCAATGAAATGAACCCTAATTCTCAATTCGTATGAGAGAGAGAGATAGAGAGAGAGAGAGTGGGAAGTTTATTTAGTAGAATCACAACTTAATTTAAAATCCTTACAATTATTGTTTATGTATGTCCTATTATAAAGGAATAGGGAATTTTGGGCTCTTACATTATTTAAATGATGAATCAAATAAATATATATTAAAAACTTAATTTGAAGATTGAAATGGCTTGGAATAAAATGCGTCCCCCATTTAGAACACATTTCATTTATTTGCTAAGTATATCTATGCATGTTTGAAAATGAATAATTGTTTCGCATAATATTTTCTTAGACTATGTACGAAACATCTTAACGAAAGTAGACATGTGGTACTATTAGCACTTTTCTGTCAAAGCAGCTGTGCAGGAAAAGTAAATAAAGACGACAGGGCTTTGAGCCAAATAAATCTGAAAAATATGCCAAATATTATAAGTATAATCAAATGAAACCCGTTCCAGAGAGCGAGAAAATGTCGTGACTATGAAGAATTTCTTGATTTTAAAACTTGTATGAAAAGTAATATTTAAACGCTCAACAATTTATACAGTTCTTAATCCACAAATTAAAAAACGAATTTCAAGAAAGTTATTCATTTAAAAAACAACGTTGACTATACATGGCTAGTAGCTTAAACTTCACATAAACATGACTATTACAGTACCGACAATATTGTCGCCTATCTCATAAATTTAATTGTCAAATAGTTGAGAAAGGATGCACATTGAAGCCATGTTTCCTGTAGATGCAGCTTGACGCCCTTCAGAGTGCACAGATTGTGATGGCACCCTTCCCCAAAACAAGCGTCTTTTGAGAACTCATAAATTAATATTTTCATAATTAAAGACACATACTTCATCTTTTTCAAATCATTCGGGTCAAAAAATAAAAATGAAACTGGACCTGCGTATTCTATTGTTCATTGCTCCACCAAGCACGCATACATAAATAAATACATACATATGTACGACTATATACATACATATATAGTAGATGTATATGACAAACTGAAATTCGAATTCATTAATTTAATTTTAATTTCAACGCCAAGTCGACATTCCAGACATGGGGACAAAAAGGCCGTGCGTGTGCTTCATACAAGTAAGTACGTGTATGAACACTGAGCCATGAATTTGATCGGCAGCAGCCTATGAAAGAACTCTCCATTCCACTCAACACAAGTGAACTTCTCATGCGGGCATTTCACGCATTTCATGGCAAAAATAACTGGCATTCCCAGGCCCCGGCCAGGTCCTTGCTGACGATGACTGTCTCTGCGCTCGTTGCACTCCGTGCGACGCCAAATGATGCGAGAAAAAACTAATATTTTGCACTGTGCATTCCATAATTGATTTATGAATTTTTAATGCAAACACTGAAAGCCACTGGCACTGCCACTGCGACTGCAGCAGCAGACAAAGAGTTGGCCAACAGCAGCAGCAATAACAACAACAACAGCAAGAACAACAACAGCAGCAGCATCAGTTATTGAAGTCAATTCAATAAAAGAAGCATCAGCAGAGCCAACTCGGTCACATTAGCAAAAACAAAAACAAGCATCAATGTACGCACCAAGAGTGTGTGTGCGAGTGCGTGTGTGTGTGAGTGTGTGTGTATGTGTGTGTGCAGACTGCACTCCTACGGCTGGATGTGAGAATATGCCGAAATGCCATGGCGCAGTGCCTCGAGAGTCTGAGCCGCCCAGAGATCCAAAAACTTGAACATCGTCTGCTCTTTCTTTTATTTTCGTTTATTGTTTGTTGTTGCTCTTGCTGTAGCTGTTGCTGTTGTTTTTGTGGTTGTTGCACCCCTGAACACCGCCGACGTCGCTGCGAATGCTGGCTGGCGTCTGCAGCTCCTCTCTCCCGTACTCTCCCATGCTCAACATGCATTTTTTGCAGACCCCTTTTGTTTCGCTCTTGCTCTTGCTCTTGTTGTTGTTGCTGCTGCTGTTAGGAGAAGCGCAAAATCAAAAACCCATAAACGCATCTCCAAACAACAGCTACGGCTACACGGCTACGGCAAAAACAACAACAATAACAGCAAAACAGCAGCCACACAATAACATGCATTGCTCCGACGCCAGTAACAACAGCGCCCCACCTCCATTGCTCTCCTTCAGCTGCACACGCACGCAATCAGCAATTGGGCTGGACGGAGGCTCGGAAGAGGAGGAGGATGGTGGTGGGAGGACTTCGTAAGCTTTAACATAAATCATAAAATTAATAACCGTAAATTGACGGCACCAGTTTTCCACTTTTTCAGTTTTCGGTTTTCGGTTTTCCAACAACTTGATGTTGCGCCGTTGCGCCTTTTTCTTTCAAAAGTGAATCTGCACTTCAAAGGCCCAGATGCAGATACTCGCACTCGTACGAACAGATTTACATGCCACATACTTTTCGCTCGAGCGAAGATTTCTGCCGATTTTCATTTTCATTGATTTTTGTGTTGTTGCTGATTCGCCAAACTGTTTAACACACGATCCCCACCTTGGGCCAAGAGTTTCATTTGAACTTGAGCCATGAAACGGAACAGAATGGGAATGGGAATGCTTGAATGTGCACATACTCGTAAATATTTTGCACGCACAATTCCCAAATTGAACAACTTTTGACACTAAGTAGGTTCCCTTTCAACATTTAACGATCTGAGGATGAATGGATGCTACAGTAGTCGGTGCACTAATTCATTAAAGAATATGGACTTTTAAAAACTCCAGCTGTTCTCATTAAACGTGTGTTTCAGGTTGTTTGCCTTTTCAACATGTTCCAGCGAAACTATCCTTAAGGTAGGTCGGGAAGGTTGTTAAGCTAGTTTGCACTTTTAATCTATTATTGTGGAAGCACGGCACTAACTATGGACCTGAAATTCTTAGAGTTACAATAATTTGTTGAATACTGATAAGCCGATATGAAAGGTAGACATGTTGTATGCATATTTGTACACAAGTTATTTGGAAACAGCAACTCAAATGTTGTTGTTGTTATATTATGGCTTATTACCGATATGGTATTATGTGGTTTATTATCATAAAGAGCATACATCAAATAGCTTAGTTGTGCTGCAAAAAAAAAAAAAAAATGTAACGTAGTGATGCAATAAGAAATATTACAGAACTATTTGGGTCATTTATATTTGTCCTATATACATATATTGTATATCTCGTCATTGATATTTATTTATTATTTATTTATTTATTATTTATAATCGTAAAAACTTAGTTGTGTTGCTAATACTTGTACACAAAAAAATCTAAAGTAGTGGAGCAATACGAATTCTTACAGAAATACTTGGGTCGTCTATATTTGTCCTTAATTACGTATATAGTATAACTCGTCATTGATATTTATTTATTATTTATTTATTTGTATTGCTAATACTTGAAATACACGAACGTAGTGATGTTATAAGAAATATCACAGAAATACTTAGGTGGTATATTTTTCCTTAAACATAAATGGTATGACTAATCATTGATAGCCTATTGTGGGAACGCCTCGTACTATTTAAATATTCGGCCTGTAGGTCGTTCAGCAAAGCGCAAATTAAACTAAAAAAAGATGGTTTAATAACTTTTCATAAGAGCATAACTGGCACCAAGAACTAACAATTAAACAGAGAAATGCACTCAAATAAATCGTAGTAGTACTAGTAACTGATTAGTTGAATGGAGAACATTAAAAACTGTGAAGAAACATTAGAAAGGCAACTTTTTTGAGGCACGGTCTAATCAAAGGAGTCGCTCAAGTAGATCGCATTCATAATTATTCTAAAAATGTACATGTATTTGGAATTAAAAAAAAAGAAGAGAAACCGGAATCGCACGCAAAACATTCATTAATTTAAATTGCGCTACAATATCGTTTTGAATGCCCTTATATGAAAGCAAGACTAGTGCGCTACTGATTGGCCAAAAAGGGATATGTACGAGTGGCTCCCGCCTTCGTTTTATGTTAACATTTAAAAGGCATAAAGAGTCAAAACTACAATGCAAAATTTAATAGTCATCATTATTGTGTTCCTAACACTTGCCAACATTTCCGCATTGTGCAAACTGTCTTCGGGTCCGTTCTCCAGATATCCAACGGACCGCGCGCCCGCCACCCGTCCTCTGGGTCGTCGGTCGTTCTGTGCCATCTCCGCTCGGTTCACGATAAGCTCTGGTTCTGGCTCTGGCTCTGGAGTGGAGAGCGCACGCTGTTGCGCTTCCTGCAACCTGAAATCCAGTCCAGAGTGGGTGAGTGAGAATCATTAAAAATAAACTGACTTGCGTGCCGATAATAAGCACATTGGCCGTGGTCGTATGCCCGGTCCCCCGGTCCCTCAGTCCCCCGCTCCCTGTTCTCCCGTTCTACAGATCCAAGACCAGCGTCATCGTCGTTGTGGACGTCGTGGACACCGTGGACGTTGCCGATATGTGTTTTTTATGTGCGGCCACAAAAACTGAAATTGATGTCCGAGTCGCATATAAAAATAAAGAATAATAAGAAATGAGCGCGCGCAACGTTTTGTACGCTGGTTGGCGGGAACCACCACGGGGGTCGGACGCCGGGGTCCACTTGTTGTGGTTTTTGGAATTCGTTGCTTGCCAGCCACGGCTCTCTTTGTTTTTGTTTTTGTTCGGTTGCTGTTGCTGTTGCTGTTGCAACGGCTGGCCAGTGGACATTCACATTCACATTCATTCAGAATTCATTAGATTTCATTCATGAAAACGCCTTCATTATGCAATAATTTTGAGTTTAGGCAGGATTCCCAGCACAGCACACCACGGTACAGCCCAGCCCAGCCGAGGGCCACCAGGGCACCAGGGCCTGAGCACAGTTGCAGACGTGTTGGCTGTGCGATTAGATAGCCCGCTGGACGTGTTGAAAATCAGCTCGTTTCAGCTTTGAATTACCATTATTAGCTGGTCGCTTAATTGAAAGTGTTTCTCCCCTGAGGTTTGGAATGGTCCACAGTAGCTGCTGGACAGTAGTTGGAAGTATTTGCAGCTGGAGACTGCAATTATTATCAGCCATAAGATCGTTTAAGCGCTGCTTAACCTGCCAAATTCTCTGCAATCCCCGGCAATCATAAGGTAACCTGATACGTTCGAACCAGCGATTCGTGGGCAACAGAAGAGCTATGAGGCGTTGAGGCCGTTTGCGTTGACAGTGCCATTCGATTAGCATTTTTCGCCATATTTTGCATACGTACGGGTATATGTACTATACTCGTATACGTTAATACGCAATCAGCAAGAAACGATCGCGGCCAATGTTCAAGTCTCACATGGCAGGTCGGTCAGTAGCATCATGAATGGCCAGGACTGGCACTGGAACTGAGAGTTGACTGAAAATTCAACTCAATCGGATGCGCGTGTAGTGCAAATTTGTCGTTATTGCGGGCCGAAGGCAGTCAAGGCTGTCCCAGACGGAGTCACGGAGCGATCAAGTTGAGTTCATTTGTATCTGATAACTAACTAATCTTAGTGAGCAAGTGAGCTAGACTAAGGCGAGGCACGGGCATGACTTCAGGTGCGCCTGCCTTTTTCAGCTGCTACCGATATTCCATGCCGACTCTGTACGCACAGATACTTTTCGGGTAGGATATGTAACGTCGCTTGCCTGTCGCTCCAACTGATCGCTATGGTCGCTCAAGCAATCTGTCTACCCATGTGTGTGTCGGTCTGTGGGTCTGTGAGTCTGGCTGTCCTCAGCTGCCTAGCAGGCAGGCTGCCTGGCTGGCTGGCTGGCTGGTTGGCTTCGCTGAATCTCCTGAGTGAGTGTGTATCTGTATCTGTGTTTGTTTTTGTTTTCTTGTCTTTGGCTGGACTTTGTTTCAACTTCTCGTTCGGCGATTCGTTGCGGTTATCGCGCAAGCGCATACCTGTCTGCGCTCCTCATCCTCATCCCATTGCCCATTCAGACTCCGACGGCATCAACTGCGACTCGATTGCCCTTTTGGTCCCTCTTCGTTCATGGCAATGGCTCGATCGGTCGACTGATACTTGGCATGTGTACCCTCTTCAAAAACAGAGTCGGAGTCGAAGTCGGAGTCGTAGTTGCAGTTTCTAGGGCAGAGGAGCGCTCGGTCGTGGCGGTATCTGAAATCTGACTGTGATAAATTGAAAATTAATGAAGTGAAAATAGATGGAACGGATCGCAAAATGCGCCAAGCCAATAAAATATTTTGACATTTGGAGTTATCGTCTTAATCTGCTTTGTTGATTTTATTCTTTTAGAGGGGAGGGGACGGGTTCGCGCTCTTGAGTCTCTGTTCGCCTCAACGCATCACCTGTTTGAAAATTCCGACGCTGCATAAATTTAGCTCCTTAAGTTCCTTTTGGCTTTCTGCTCAACAGTTTTGTTCTTGCTTTCGCTTTATTTGCAGTTGATTGGCGGACCGTCCGTGACCGCCGCAATCGACAGCCAGAGCGGCCATGGCGGTGGCTCGGTGCCATCGCCTCTGTCCGGTACCAACGAGGCCTCACTCAGTCCCTCGGGTGGCTCTACAACGACCGGCGTTACAACAGGCCCTCTCAGTCCAGGTGCAATCTCGCAGTCGTCCAACAATGCGGGCTCTTCGACTGCAGCGGCCCTTGTCTCGGCCACGTCTCCGTCGGAGGCAGTTGGAAACGATGTGGCCGGCTCCGCTTCAACAGATGCCGCTGGACATGTGCTCGAGACACGAAGCGGTGCCGACGGCATGTCGTGCTGTGAAAACGGGCGTCCCATCATGACTGATCCTGTATCAGGACAGACGGTTTGCTCGTGCCAATACGACTCGGCGCGTCTCTCGCTGAGCGGCTACTCGCGCATGCCGGCAGCGGGTGTGGGAGTGTATGGCGGTCCGTATCCTTCCAATGAACAAAATCCTTACCCCAGCATCGGCGTTGACAGCTCAGCCTTCTACTCGCCACTGGTAAGTAAAGTCTTCATCGTACGAGTATGTACATCAGTCGATAATTGGATTAAGGCAGTGTGCAGAAGTCCTCGTCAAAGCCAAATGCGAGACGACAGCTTGTGCAGATATCATCATGTATATGTCTGCAGCGTCTTGGCTGCCAAGCCAGTTTGTGTAATGGGATTGCAGTCCAGAGCTGACGTAGGCTGCTCCAAGTGGTCAATTAATGGGGGCTTACATGAATGTTATCGGCTGAGCGGCTGCTGGAGACTGAGATTACGCAGACTAATGTCTAATTCTCCTCTTACGGATATTTTCAGAGCAATCCCTATGGCATGAAGGATAACAGCGCTTGCTCTGATATGAACGCTTGGACCTCGGCCGGCCTCCAGCCCACTTCCGGTTACTATTCCTACGATCCAACATTGGCCGCCTATGGGTAAGTCTCTCTCGCTATACTCATCCGTCATCCGTCTGCCTGCAACAATGGACTGAATTTGTTTCCAGCACAACTAACCTACAAGCAACAGCAACAACAAATGCGCCGCCAATAAGAAAGTTAAGTGGGTTTAAAACGTTTCCAAGGGACAGAAAGTTTCTTGCTTTGTCTGTAGAGTTTTTATCGCCGCAAAGACTTTATGTGTATGTGTATGGGTGTATGTGTGTGTGTATGTGTGAGTGTATGTGTGAGTGTAAAGCACAAATGGAAACTTCGTTGCCGGGTAGGGGCTGCACTTGTCTGCGGCTGCCAGCGGTCTGTGCCTTTTTAGCAAAGGGAGAGGGTATGCGGTGCCTTTTAAAATTAGACTAAACGCAATAAGTTTATGGTCCAGTAAAGGTGTGGGACAACGACTTTGTTGTTTTGTTTGTTGTTGTTGTTTGCTAAGCTGGACGGAAGGAAGATAAAAATGCACAGATTAACAATCTTGGTTCATTTTTTTATGAGCTCTTATGTATTAGCTTCCATAGCTATGGAACTGAAGGAAAACTAGTTAACTCAACAAGACCTTTCAATACGCTTAGGAAAAACTGCGAAGTTGATTAAGAGGTCGACTAAAACATGAATAGAATATTGAATTGAATTTGGAAATAGTACTTAACTCACTTACCTTAGCAGCTTTGGTTATCTCTGTGACAAACCTAATTATCGCGAGTTCAGGATGATAAACATACGAGTATGTATCAATGGCTCTTCAGGCTGTCCAATAGTTCTACCAGAAACCATTGTCTTGTCTAGGTGTGGCTGACTGACTCTACTGTTTGCTTACGTTTTACGCTGATAAGTCTAGCGGGTGACAGCCAAGTCACCGGAAGGTGGCTTCACTTAACGCCATTTCCTATTGGCAGGCGCTGGTGCGCGATAACAAACTGTTGACACATAGACTTCAAAATCAACTAATTAGCGACTTTTGACTTGAGCCGGCAGTCTGTCATTTGTGACATTCCAATTGGCGACGGCCTTATTGACTTTGCGGATTCACTTTGTTTGCAGGTACGGACCTAGCTATGATCTCGCCGCCCGCCGCAAGAACGCAACGCGTGAATCGACGGCAACACTTAAGGCGTGGCTAAGCGAGCACAAGAAGAATCCCTATCCAACCAAGGGCGAGAAGATCATGCTGGCCATTATTACCAAAATGACATTGACGCAGGTCTCGACCTGGTTTGCAAACGCACGTCGACGCCTGAAGAAGGAGAACAAGATGACGTGGGAACCAAAGAACAAGACGGAAGACGACGATGATGGTCTGATGTCTGATGACGAGAAGGAAAAGGATCCAGAGAATGGTTCCAAGTTGTCTGGCGACACATTTGGTAAGTGCTTGCCTAAAACTGAATGGCACCGGATGTGCTCCACTCTCTGTCGCTAGCCTGGCCTTAACTTCACCTTCGGCCTATTGAGGTCTTTGAATTGTTCTCAAAACGCCCTACTCCACATAGGAGTTCTGCCCCGCCTTCATTGCGGATTTGTCACAGAGGCCTTTTAAGTGAAATTTATGTGGCGCAACGAATGTTTTGCTATCTTGGTTTGCCTTGGGCCGCTCGCCCGAGCGTCAGTCTGTCTGACTTTTTGTTTGTCTGACTGCTTAGGCGACGTCCTCCCCGGAAGTCAACAGCACATGGCCGGTAAAGTGGCCTTGCGCACGCACTTCACACTCCTTACCGCTGCACCACTCTTCGCCCGCTCTAGACAAGTGGCCTTGCTCGAATTGGCGACCTGCTTGCCCCCAAGTTGGAATCTATGTAGCAACATAGCGCAGCATCAGCTGAAGCTGGCGGAAACACGAGCATTTTGTTACTGAAAAGCTTTCTCCAAGGGGGTTGCACGCATCAACGCCCCTAAACAATTTCAAGGGTGTTTGCCTGCCAGCCTGTCAGCTTCCCAGCTTCCCAGCCTGCTTCTGGCAAGTGGCCAACGCCCCGCTTCAACTACTGCCAAGTGCGGACTGTTTTGATGCAGCTTGAATTTAATTCGTTAAGAAACTTGTCTGCTTCCGCCTCTGAATTGAACTTAATTTAATTTATGTTTGCGTTCCGTTGCGCGTTCTCTAATCACCAGATCACGGCAATCAGCTCATCAAATCCGAGCTGGGAAAGGTTGACAAGGAGCTGGACATGGAGCCAGCGGAGCATGAGCGTGAGTCGCAGCAACAGAATCTGGTAGCCATGCGTGGGCTGGGGCCATATGCAGGAGCAAACTATGCACCACATGCAGCCTACAATCCGTATGGGCAGGCGCAGCCTCCGCCCCTGCCACCGCAGCAGCAACAGCAGGTGGGGGCACCCGCCTATTACCAGCATGGCTACGGACAGGATGGCGGTGATTATGCCGTTCAAAAAAACCCGCTGAGCAGAGACTGTGGCATACCGGTGCCGGCGAGCAAGCCCAAAATCTGGAGTGTGGCCGACACAGTCGCCTGCAAGACACCACCGCCTACGGGTTACCTCGGCCAGAACTTCTATCCACAAGCATCAGCGTCGGGATCGGCACCGGAGTCGACGATGCAGATGACCAGCATGCCGCCGCAAGTAGAGCTCAGTTCGCCGCTGAGTATGATGAGCAGTTACGGCGCCGCATCGCCATATTCGCGGATACCTACGGCGTACACAGAGGCAATGCATATAGGGCCGGGTCCGGGATCAGTGCCGCCGCCCACTACCAAGGCCCCTATCATCCCTATGCATCGCGATCAGTTGCAGGGGGCGGTGCATTCACACATCTCGACGCAGTCTCCTTACCCCCAGCAGCAGCGCGTGGGGTTTCCAGAGATTCAGCCCGATACGCCCCCACAGACGCCGCCCAATATGAAACTGGGCCAACACCAGCACCAACTCCAGCACAGCAACCACAGCAACAGCAACCCCAGCCACAGCAGCACTTCAGCTTCAGCCTTGGCGCTGACCCCCATGGTCAATATGTGCTACAGTAATGGGGCCGTTGCCTATGCGAGTAGCGGTAGTGTGGGCGGCGGTGGCGGCGGTTTCAGTGGTCGATCTGGTGGCTCGTAACGCCCCCACCACGTCGGCGACCTTGAACCAGATACCAAACTCTTGCAATAAACAGGCCCAGGCGGACAAGTGCAAACTTTGCAGGCATTGCCAGCGATATGCCGGCGAGATAACCACACTAATTATTTTGCAATAAATGTAGCTTAAGTACGGCAATAAAACTTTATTTCCTACCATATCGTAAATTATTTCACTTTATAACTTTAATTAGCATATTTACACACTCGAGCTCTCAGACTCACTCACGACTCACACATACCCGTCACGCGTCCATCCGTCAGTCGTTTGTTCGTCTGTCTCTCTCCCTCTCTCTCTCTCTCTCTCTCTCTCTCTGGCTGTCTGTCTGTCTGTCGGGGCACGTGAGTGATGTTTTTTCAGTGTACGGATACTTAACGACATTCGTCGCGGCGCTGGGGGCTTTAGTCATTCGGTTGTGAGTTTAATGACTTGAAATAAACAGAGCCACACACATACCCTCACACAAACACACACACACACACACACACACACAGACTCACACACAGAGCCACAGTAGTAAACACAAAAACAATAAACAGATAATCTCCGGCATTCATTCATCTTCCGCACTCACTCACTCACTCACTCAGACACTCACTCACTCACTTAGTAGGCATGCGACAAATGCTACACCTACCCGACTCCATAGAGACCCCCTCCTAACTGAGCACCAACTCCTCGCACTTCATCGCACATTTTTCATAGTTTAAGCGCCTAATTAAGCCATTAGCCCAGCATATAATAACTTAATTGACTTTAAACGTGTAGTAGCCCACGAATTGAATTAGAACTATACTATACACGTACGAGTATGTACGAGTGTGTATGTTGCATGTACATAGTACTACGAGTATACTTGTATGGTACTGCCTGTGCGCCCACTTTCTAGGAGTCATCAACTTTTTCGCGAATATAATCTGTGATATATGTACGTATATATATATGCACTTTGGCGCGGCATTACGAGTATTGTTAATATACTACTTAGTTAATCTAATTTTAACTCGTGTCCATTGTATTGGACATTGTGTTTTATTTAGTATGCATTACCCTTAGAATATATCAAACAAATTCTATGTAAATATCTATGTAAATGTACACTCGCATATGGAATTCAAATAAAATTAAATCATATAAAACCAAAAGTGCATTATTTCCTGGATTATGGTAAGTTCACCTATTTTTTTTAAATATGAATCATATTAATAGGTGGCTAGGTTCAGTAAAAAAACAATGAGAAGAGGGTGAAAAGCCGAGGAATCCACCAGCCCCAGTTAAGATTTAAGGGGCCCGAAATCTCACAATATTAGAGTATTTTTAGGATTTACAAGTATTTTATTTATTTACCCGGCTAGAAATTATACTTGTAATCGAACATGGCAATGAAAAAAAACTCCACAAGCAAAAATAGATCCGAATAATATTCGAAGTCCGAGATGCTAAAACCGCAAAAATAGAATGTTTTCCGCCAATATAGTATGTATTTAATATGTTTAGGTTTAATTTGGGTTCATAGCAGAAAAGAGAATCGGGTAAACGCCAATACAAATTTGCTCATATTGATCTATAAATAGAGTTCGTTTCAAATATATGTATATTGGAGATATGAAACCCGATTTGAAGCTATTTATTATAATTTTTTAAATTTTCCTTTTAGTTATTAGGCTGCAGAAGTAGAAACGCATAACCATAGCGTTTAACTTTGAAAATTTACAATAACACATATAATACAAGTATACTATATTTCAATGTCTTACTATTAACTACGGAACTATGTCCTTTTATTTCCCTCATTTGTGCACTGAATGTATAACATATCCATATCGAAAAACTCTATGCGGCTTCAAGTCCTGGTGTTAACGAATTATTAAGAATTTCATGTATAATTACTGATGTGGAGGAAACTAACGAGTTTACTAAAATACTTGTATAAGATCGTCTGAGCGAATAGTGTTACAAATATTGAATAAATAATGACATACGTACATAAGTATTGCTCTAATCAACAAAGGATATTTGATGGGATGCAATTCTTCCTGAGGGTAATCTAGTTGTTGAGGTTGGTAATTTTATTTCGTATATTTCGGTAAAATTGGAAATTGGCTTTTTCATGAATTTCGCGGAGGCAATGTCATCTGTTTTCATGAAAATCTTTAGCTTTATAGCTTTAATTGGATCAAATGCAATATAACCTTTTATAAAATCCCTGCTTTTCAATTATTATTCATGCTCTAAGACTATAGTATGTATTTGTGACTAACTCCAACTGCGATTGTCTTAAGCCGAGAATCGTAAGAGAATCGTTCCTATATGAAACTTTAAAAGATTTCTTAGAAAGCATCCCTAACGAGGGGTCCAAGCACATGCCAATTACTTTGACATTCCAGTTTTATTCTATAGTATTGTCACTTTTAGGGCAGAGTCAAGCTGGTCGTACTTACATATGAGTACATGCGTCTAATTAATTCCCAATGTTAGCCTTTCAATACAAAAATACACACACACACACAGAGAAGCACTTCTAATACCTTTGGCAATGTCGAAATGAGCAGTTAAAAATCTTATCACATAAATAACTTGCGGTGGCACGACGACAACAACGACAACGACATTTCACTCATAATTAATGAAAACACATTAAAAGGGGGCACACTTAAGAATTGAGTTTAAAAAATCGTTTCGAATAAAAACACGCAGTCGGCAGTCATCGTCATACAAAAGCGGGCAGCGATAAAAATAAAATCAAAGCACAGAAGACATGCCCCAGGTATACTGTATACTGTATATTGTATATTGTAGGTAGGTCTTTACAATTTACCTAAATGCGCGACCGACTCAGACTCAGACTCAGAGCGACTCGGTATGATATACATAATTTTTTCTTTATACCTTACTTTATTAATGACCACAATTCCTCCAATGATCATCAGGTGAACTCGGCTAAAAGGCTGGGAAGTGGTCGGCGCAGTAGCTGCGACTGATGAATGATTGTGATGCGTGGCCTGACGGTCGGCATACAGATTAAAAAATATATAAATAAAAAACAAAATAAAATAAAGGCAGCAGCGCCACACGCACACGACCTCAAAGGAGAGAGACAAGTGCAGATCACAATACATCAGAGAAGTGAAAAGATCGTCGGCCTGTCGCGACTTCTTCTGCAGGGCCGGTCGCAGGAAGTATGCCGCCCGGCTTAAAGTCATATTGATGTTGACGATTATAATTGTTGCTGTCCATATAAGCCCATTGAGCCGAGATCCCGACAATGTGATAAGTCGTATCCACCTCTCTGTCGCCAGTGTCGCCGCAATAAGGAGCACAAAAACCACTATCCTGACCATAGGCTCGTCTCTTTTTATGGCGTGTTTCTTGTAGTCACTTGTGGATTCCTCTTCTTCTTCTTCTTTTTGTTGTTGTTGTTGTTGGCAAGGGCCTACCTATTGAGCGAGCCCTCAAAATGATTAGCTCCCATTTTTCTTGTGTCATAAGTGAGAGCTACTGGTCTTATCGGGAACTGCCCCTCTGTCCATCAGAGTAATGCGCAAAGGCACCTTCGCTCTGCCTGGAAAAGTGGCTGGTGTTGGTTAAGAATTAGTTTTAAAACGTTCCCATTGTGCGGTTTCTTAGGAGAAGGAATAATAATGCATCGCATTAATATTCTTTTGGATAATCCGTGTCTAACCTTAATTTGTTTTCAAAGTGTATGGCTATTAGAGCTAAATCTCACAGCGTGATTTCTTTTAATTACCTAATTAATCACTGACTCCTCGAAAAGGTTTGATTCTTCTATGCAAGCCACTTAATATTTATGAAAATGAATTTGAAAAATTGAACTAAAAATAGTAGAAAGAAGTCAGACTTATATGTATATTTGATTCTTCTATGCAAGCCACTTATTATTTATGAAAATGAATTTGAAAAATTGAGCTAAAAATAGTAGAAAGAAGTCAGACTTATATGTATGTTTGATTCTGTTATGCAAGCCACTTATTATTTATGAAAATGAATTATAATAATTAAACTAAAAATAGTAGAAAGTAGTCAGACTTATATGAATTACTCCAACCAGATTTAATATTTAATGTACGAGGTCTGTTCAAAAGAAAAGGTGAATTTTGAATTATTTTAAAAAGCATTTATTTATTCATAAATATACATCCTGTCCCCTTCAAAGCTATCCCCCTCAGATAAAGTTAGAATCGAAGAACGAGCTGATGGCCATTACTTTGAAGGGGTCAAAATATATATTGATGAATAAATACTTTTCAAACAAAAATTCAAATTGTCCTTTTTTTTAAAGAGACCATGTACTCTGAGTTTAATCAAATTATCGATTAAAGCACAGAAGTGAAATGATTTTGTCTACGAAATGGATCTATCCGATGATGTCTTGTGGATTTCATGGAGCATCGTTAGCCAAGTAGTGTTTGTTGTATCTTCGTCATATTTTTATGGAAATGTCATGTCCTGCAGATGCGAATGTCATGTCCTGTAGCTTCTTCCTAACCACCATCGAGATTGTCAGTCTTCAAGCTCGACTCAATTAAAACAATTTTGTTTGTGCTTGCCCGAAAGGCAAGGTAACGCGTACGAGTAAATTATGTAAGCCATAGACATATTATCCGGTTGGGTTTAAATAAATTATCATTCGTTCGTTTTAGAGTGTAAAATCTGCTGAAATCATGTGTTAAGCATCCTTCAACACCTCATTGAGTGCCTAAGCAGGCAATCGTCACAGCAACATCTTCGTCGACGATGCAAAGACGACCTTCCTCCATCCTCCATCCTCCTCCCACCGCCCCCTTCCCCTGCCCGGGCCATGCATTTGGATGCGCGACGAGGCTCTGCTGTGCGATTTGCATCGAACATTATGAATAACAAGCCAGGGAGAAGTCAGAGAGCTGCAGCAACTGCTGGAACAGGAAGAGCCGAGCACACATCTGATTGTACATCAAAATAAATCAACGCAAAATTAACTTGACTTATGCGCAGTCATATTCGACGCGGGACGCCGAAGCCGAAGCTGTGCAACCGAAGGAGCCAACTGCGCCCAGACCTGGATGGCTAGATAATGTGTCAGACTTCAAATGAATGAGTGTGTACATGTCGGGATTTGGGCGCAGAGCGCGGGACCACTTGCGAGTATTTACCTCTGCCTGTGCCTCTG